CAGATGCCACCAGTTAACGACATCTACAAAATATTTCACATGGACATATCAACTCTGGGATCCAAGACATGGCCACAACCAAAATACCCGATAACACCCATAGGATGTTGATGAGGAATCTTCTCCATTAACGATATTTTTTTTTTTTATATTTGTTTATTTAGAAATATTACATTCTCTCACAATCAAGGACATTTATAATAGTGTTCAGAGAGCATACTCACACTAATAAATATTAAAATCAAGATATTTAAACACTATTTATAACCCAAAATCAAGATATGTAAGGATGCCGCTGGGCACTCCTCTCTCTCACGTCTACCAATGTCTTATTCCATTCTACTTCCCGACAGCACACTCGCTGGTTGTTGGATTTTTTTTTTATAATTGATAAATGGCTCAATGAAAGAGAGAATATTACATTGAAATATACGAACCGAAATCCAGTACAAGAAAACTCAATATTTCATCATATGTAGACTTGAAACCTTAAATCGTTGACGCTACTTAAAACTTGGGGGCCCCGTTAACTTACAACCCTGGTTGCCAAGATCGTTAAGTTCAACAATTACCAACTGCCTTGTTCAACCTGCATTTTCTCGATTCAACACGCAGGGTCTCAATGTACTCTGCCGGTTATCGCAACGGTATGCAAATGCGACAACATACAACGCTCACTGAATAATTATAATCGCCCGAACAAAATGCTAATTTCATCACCCTGATGCGGTTAGAAACATGTTTGTGACCCGGATCGGGAGAAAGGCGTGGTTTTGCGTTACACTATTAACAAAGGCTTGAATATAATCTTTTTTGCATTAAGTATTAGGTTTGTAATACTATATAATATCCGTATAATTACTATAAGGTGTATTAAATCTCTAAATCTTGGAACAGTCGAATAAATTACGCCAAATTTACACCTCTACTCTAATTTTCACCTCTTCTCCAGCGGCAGATCGGAAAAGATTTTTCTTATGTGTCTTTATCATTAGCGGATTGAAGAGGGCCTTTCAAGCTGAAGTCTCCTCTTCCCAAAATAGGAAAATAGTTTTTATGGGCCCATATTTGTTTCTATGAGGTACTTTGTAATGAAGTGTTCGACCAATTCTCTTTATTAGAATTGGGGAAATAAATGTCCTTTTATCTTATTATCTATCCACTTGACACACACAAATTTACATTAAAGTCAGAGACAGGTGTGTGTAGGCCCATGGATGATTTGGCATGGAATGGTCTAGAATATTATTTATTAACTTAGTGCAGATATCCATCAACCCTCGTCTTCTTCTCTTGAAGGTCCCACATACTTTCTATAAACTGGTTATCCACAATTAGGAAAAACAAAGGCTGTTAAGGGTGGATGAAACCAAATCATCTTGCACAATCATTAGGCTACAAATTGAACTTTATTACAAAATAATGAATTTTGGGTTCAGTCATGATTTGTGGAGATACAGTTAGTGAAAGGATTAAAAATCAATTGACTTAATGTAATTTAATGATAATAATAATGCTGTTTTGTGGTAAACAGTGAAAATGAAAATTATGCTTAATTAGATTGGTTGTGGGGAACAGCAAAATTTTTTAACATCAAGCCCATCCAATCCTTCCAGTCAAAAGTCCTTCGAACAATAGTCGATGCTCCTTTTTATGTAACCAACAACAAAACCCTACATCATGACCTCAACATCCCATTTATCCTAGACCTTATCCCACGTTATCTCCACGTTATCTCCAAATTTCACGGGAACCTTGCTTATCATCCAAATCCTCTTGCACAATCTCTATCAAGCACCATCCATCCGTATAATCCTCCAAGAAGGTTGAAAGGGCAATGGCCTCGCGACCATTTGTAGATTGTATATATTGGAGCTCTGATAATGGCTAGATTCTTCACTGAAGACATGAGTGTATGTGGCTTAAGTGCTCTCGTTCAATCTCCGCTGGCTTTAGTACAAGTGAAGCGGTTGAGAGAGTAGCGCAGGGTCCTCCTGGAGTTACCTCGCCTGATTGTAAATAGTGAATATAGGTATGCATGTGTTTTTTGCTTAATTTTAATTTTCTAATTTTTTGTTTATTTTATTTTATTTATTTTATATACTTTTTGATTAATATTTATTTTTATTTTGCTCCTATTTATTTTATTTTTTTGTACACATCACATAAATCACTTTAACTAGTGTCCATGTGACAGATTGTTGTAATACTCAATAAATAAATTTAAAAAAAATTAGATTGATTAGCTGTGAAATGTAGCAACCTAATGTATTTGGGCAGCATCGCTTATAAATAAACCATTTTCTCTTTATTTTGATATTAAAAAGAAATTTATTTGTGACTTAAAAAGAAGCATTAAAAATAAGATATCATGTAACCCAAAATCACCTCTCCGTATGTCTAAATAGTCTTCATTATACTAATGAGTGTTGGCCATGACTGATATATTTATTGGAGGCGACTGAAAAGGAGCTGGATAAGTTTTTTTTTCCTGAATTAAGGAAATAAACAAGTGGTTGCTGCTGAGAACTATTCTTCTTCATGATTAAAATATTTTTTACCTACCAACTAACAACATATCTGCTTCTTGTCATCTTCATGACAGGTACGGATGAAGATTTGAAAAAGAAAAAAAATTGTTTATTATTTTTTATGGCTCAATATCTTCTTTATTACCTTCTTTCTGTACTTATTATTTATTTTATAAAATATTAAATAAAAATTCTGTCATTCATAACCTTCTTTCACTGCCATAATTCAAAATGTTAGATCATATGTGTCATATGTCGATGTGTTCTGTTGCATTCAAACACGAGCCTTAATTATATAGTTATTATGTTATGTATATATTGTTTATATGCACATACGTTCGACTTTAACATGTGATATACTAAATAAAAAGGAAATAAAAGGATAAAATAAAATAAATAAATAAAATAAGCATAGGAGTGATAACTGGGAGGAGCAGAAAGTTGACCAAAACTGGAATTTTCTTGGCTGAATTTAATTACCGGCTACTAACTGATTCCTTCTAAACTGAGAATCCAATTAGACTTGCAAAGAGCTTCCAAACTGGACCTCTCCTCCCCCCCCCTTCTTTACTTAATTATATTTTACCATTTCCCAATTAGGTCCCATCAAGCCTGTTATAAACACAGTATTAAAAAAATCAATTATAATTAATAGAATAAACCGGTATAAACTGCAATTAAAATAATCATTCTTTAAATTAATTTAATTTTTCAATTTGTGTTTTATGACCACGAAAAATAAAATGGCACTAGTTCCTTCGAATCGGCTTCGTACGTTCATTAGTTAACGAATCGGAGGTAGTGAAGACTTTATAAGTAATGTTTTTATTCATAATGTCAGTTACAAATAACATAAAATACAGAGTAATATAATATGGATATATGGGTTGACTACATGAGTTCACTCCAGGTCACCTACAATGAAGAGTGTGACTTCAAGAACGTAACTACATGAGTGATTAGTTCTTTGGAGCATAGGGTTTATGTACTCAAGAATAGTGAGAGGGTGAAGGGAAGAGGAGAAGAAATCGGAAGAGGACGGCAAAGGAAGTTATCAATAGTTAATATTCTTAAGGTGTCTGTGAGAAAGTGCCCTTTTGCTGAAATCGGTTATTGTTCCTTAAGTCTTGATAATGGGTCTTCTGTTCAGTCGGTACATTCTAGATAACTATTTCTAAGCTATCAGAGATGTCGTGAGAAACTAAAAGATAATAAATGATTCACCAATATTTAACAAAATAAAAGTAAAATTAATATCATTATTATTATTATTATTTGTTACGGATTAAGTCCATTCCGTAACAATTGTTCAGTATGACACGCTGTCATCACGAATCGCTGACAATGAAGACTCTTATTTATGATTGCTTTTACACATTGTATTATTTATACTGAATAGAGCAATAACTATGACTTTAAGGACTGACGAGAAGAGTTCGTTCTTATCTTCTACAAGAGCTTAAAAACAAAATTATGAATCAAGGTCATCTAGCAAGAGCGAAGCTGCAAGAATGGAATTGCAACTGTTATTTGTATTGAAGTCCATGAAGGCAAACATATACCAAGAAATAGTAAAGGGGATAAAGGTCTGTGAGAAAGAAGCGTTTTGCCGAAATCTGTTATTGTTCCTTAAGAGTCTGTTGTATCATGTGGATGTTAATAGTTCAATACTATAAGATGTAGTATTTTTTTTCGGTTATAAAAGTTGTCAATACGTCCTATCACCAATTGGCAGATTTAATAACCTCGAGCGTTTAAATGAGAATAAAATTAATATTATTGTAATCTTTTACGTATATTCTGTAAATTTAAACAATTTTGACCCAAAAATTTTATTCTTTCTTCTTTTTTTATTGAATAATTATATAATCTAAAACTTTTGAAGAGCAGTAAGTATAAAGACTAAAAGTGTCCATTCATACAATATATACAGATAATAGAGATATAACTATAAATAAAAAACATAAATGAATAGTAAAAAATTAGTAAATAAGAGGGTTCGGATGGTTCTGAAGTTAAATATGAATCTGAATTGAGACAAGTCGGAAACATAAGGAACATTAAGGTCGTTATGGATGATTTTATTAGTGACAAAGTAAGGAGCATTGAGGATTTTACGTAGGATTTTGGATTTAAGGATTGGATATGTGAGGAATTTGATGGCTTTGTAGAGCCCCAAATCTCAACTCCGTAAGTCCAAATAGGTGTTATTGTTATGTTTATGAGTCTTTTGTATTTAACTGAAAGCTTAGAGCGTTTGTCTAGTAAGTGCAGGAGTAGTTGGAAACGTCGTGCGTTTTTTTGTCGTTCCAGTCTGGTATCAGGATTCCAAGTTAGACATTTATCCAAGTGGAGTCCAAGGTATCGGATTTGCTCAAGAGGGATAAGCAGGGCATTATTAAAGGATACTGTACAACAGGAAGTCATAGATTTACAACGTATTAATTGTCAATGAATAAATGAAAAAAATATTAATTGATTATATATTTTCTAGCTCGTAAACATTTTCATTTTCCAAGGACAATTCGCCTTCTTCGTTCCCTACCTCTGCCTCATAATTCTCAAACAGCGGGTCATCGGAATCCTTATCTCGCAAATGATCCGTGATAGGGGGTTCGTAAAAGCTGAGAATAATTCTAAGCTTTTCGTTTCTCTTTCTGAGGTGGTACACCTGTTCCTTCTTCCAAACGATATCTTTCTTGAGTAAATAATAATTCGGGGCATTTATTTTGCCCCTTGCGAAATTCTTTCTCACATAGCTATTCGTTGGGTCAGAAAAATTGGAGTATCTAAATGCTTTACTAAATTACTCAAATATATTATATAATATTATTGTACTAGATGATGCTATAGAGTACTGAAGTACCATATATTAATTTGTAATAATGGTTTTATCAAACAACAGATTTTTCACACACCTGATAAGGTGAGGAGGGGGTGCTTGATCCAAGGTACGCTGCAAATCTTGTGAGTTGTAATATATATTTTTATTATACATTTATGTTGTACAAATAACATCTATCGACTGTCTTTATGGTGTTAATATATTTTCAATATTAAGGGAAAACTGTTATTTAAAACAAACGCCAATGCTACAGAGACATAATTATTATAAGGTATGAAGGAAGAGAAAAAGGTCGGTGAGCTTGCATTAAATCGATCCATGACAGAAAGTATGAGCAGTATCTGGTTCTATAGAAATAGTGTGGATTAGGACGGATTTGAAATAATATTATGTTTAGTCTACTAATGCCCCATCACTTATAATTATTAAACAGAAATAATATTGAAGAGATAAACCTCCTTAACATGCCGAAAAAGGATAATTTCAAGACCTTGAACCTTATCAGAAAAACAAATAAGGGACTATGGAGGAAAAAAAAAAGTAATATTGAGAACTCTAAATATCCAGTTAAAACATGTCCCACTACTCCAGGCGAACGAAAATACGTTTCTATAAGACACACAAGCGCTCAACGCTCCTCTATGGTTTTGAGATCTCGAACATTTTGAAGAACATTGAACAGGGGCTTCAAATGTTTGAAATATAAAGTCCTTCTTAGGATATCGGTAGGTAAGAAGGATCAACCAGGAACTGTTAGATATATATCAAGAAGAGCCCGCTGTTGTTGTGCAGTCCATGAAGAATACCAGGGGTACCCACAAGGGGGTTTCATGGCTCAAGCTGCGGGGCACATTTTTACGGGATTTTGAATTTTTGAGGGGGGCACTTTTATGAATTTTTTAATTGAAAAGTTTCAAATAAGGAGACTAAGGGAATACATAGAATAGACCTAAGCAAGTGTAATTGTACATGACTTACGGTACGTTTATTTCTAATGTTTTTAAGAAGAGGAAAGCAATACAATATCTTGGGGAAGGGAGGGAGATATGATTATTTTTTATGATGGCCTATTTTCATAACACTACTATGGAAAGTTCCATTAGCGGATCCAGGATTTAATTTTAGGTGGCGTCAGCCCGAAAGCATTTTATTTTATATAAATAATGATAATTACTTTAAGAGAAAAGAAAGAAACCTGACATGGTGTTTAAGTCATTCTTGGAGTACTATTAAAATGTAATTATACGAACAATAATACTTTTAAAGATAAGTTTTTATTACTTTTTTCTAAGACATGGTTATATTTTTCCATTTTGGGAAGGCAGGGAGCTTCGACCAATATTTCGGCGTCTGATGAAATATTGTTAATATGTATGAAATTTTCTAAGCTATACTACTGTTAATCTCTTTGTATAAGCCTTTCAGTTGACAGAATTACTAACTAATTATTTTAGTGATATTTCTAGAGGAAAAAATTGTACGTTTATTCACAGTTCTATATTTCAACACTGCAATGACCCACTCTGGAATCAACTTACTAACTGTCTGTACAGGTATTATAAATTTTTCAACAAGAAACATCACTAAAATGACTTTGCTAAAAAAATGTTGAAAGTGGAGTTAGTCACTTTGTAAACTGAAAGACTCATATGTCTCTCTTTATATAAATATTCTATATATTTTTTTATCGATAAAAATAAAATATATATTTTGGATTAAAAAAAAAAAATCAAAGGATACTGTCCTAAGAAAGGAGGTTTTTCTGGTTCCTCCCAAATTTTGTGAAGGATTTTCGTAAGTTCGTATTTAATACCACTTTCTTCTAAAAAGCGTCGATACACCTCCCAAGTCATACTCATTTCCTGTGAAATTGGCGTAATTAATTTGTATTACGGTCCATTATAATTTTATATATATTTATTTCCTATTCGAACAACGTCCATAAGACATTTGGCCAGTATACCTGAAAATATTATTAAGTGCTTTCGGCATATTTTTTTAAGATACAATACAAATTTTAATCTTCTTGAACTTAGAGATTTTTTATAACAACTTGATCTTTGACAATAGATAATAATGACGTTTGTAAAAATTATGCAATTCTTTTGAACCGGAATATTTTATTTTATAATAAAGATGATAACCTAAGGGGTTTCACAGGTATACAATCGATCTATTAGACATTAAATGTTTATTAGAGAGCAATTTCGAAATTATTGATTTTATTCTTATAGAACCATGTAATTTGCCAAGGGGTCATTGTTTGGATCGGGACCATTTCAATCTCTTTACTATTAATGAGTAACAACTTGAAATCAAAATTAGGAACCGGTTCGAAAAAACTTAACTTATAGTTGTAAGAACCGAAATATGATATAAGTGTAAATAAAACCAAATGAGGACTTTTTCAAGCAACTTTTGGAATATCTTTAAACGGACCCTAAAATAATAGAATATTTTCTCTATGGTTATCCTAATTCTCTCTTACTATCTTGAATTGAATCAGGATCATCAATATCTGTTCTTATTTTAAAAAACATTCTTACAAATCTTAATGCATACTATCTAAGATCATTGATGTCGGTACCTATTCTCTTGGACTGAGCCTTGAATCAATCGCTTAAGACAATCGCATATTAATTTACACGAATTGAAACGCCAGAAATCAACTATTATAAATTGAACTGATTGGATTCTTGTTAGGACAATTATGTAATAAATACCTAGTTATTTAGAAAAATAAATATCCTTATTTACATATAATTTGTTTACATATATTTTCACCAAAGGGTAAAATTAATTATTTGTAATAAATTTTAACTATAATAAGTTACATGATAAAAATAATAATAAAAAAAAACCTCTACAACCACTATAACTCATCGAGGATCTTTGGATTCAGTACTATTTAGGGAAAGCACTGTTTCTTGGTCTACGATTTTGCAAGGACCACGCTCAACCGCCACATTTTTCCCCTTAATTAATTATTTTAATTAAAGCACAATTTATAGAGGGTGTGCTCCGGGAGGATCTACCCAGGATCGCCCCACGGCCAATGAAAAAGAATAAATAATTTTTTCTGCCATGAGTTGGGATTTGAACCTGGGACTTTTAGCATTAGAAGCTCTGTACCCTACCACTGAGCCAAAATCAATTATTATGCCACTCACCTATAATAAGTTACATAACATAGCCAAAATCAATATTTAACTCTATGAATTGATGGATATTTAAAATATATGATGAGAAATAATATTACCTTGTATGACATTTTATATCTTCACGTCAAACGTTGTTCAGTAATATTTCTTATCACATATGACAATGTGATATTTTATCACATGATTTATTTGAATTATGGCAACATATATAGTGTTGACGAACATCATAATTAAAATTTTCTACAGAACTGTTTTCGATAGAAAGCATTTCACCATTTTCGAGACGGAAGTTATTTTAGTTCCAATGTGCTGAGTGGGGACGATGACTAAATTTAGTATAGATTGCGCTGCAAGAAAGCGAACGTCAAAATTCGTAAAGTTTCCACTGTGAAGAGAAAAAGGAAAAGAAAAAATAAATAAATAACCTTTCGTTTCAGATCCAAGAAATAATTCTTCCCTCTCCACTTATTTGCTGGAATCGGTTGGTAACATGTAACACAAGCCGTCTTTCTCCGCTTTGTTGGAATCCATATGGATACTAACCCAAATAAAGAATTTACTTATTTAGAAATTTGTATAACCAAAAATGCCATATTTTATTAATTAAATTGCTTAAATTCTAAAAAACACCACCAAAATGGCAATAAAAATTTTATCGAGTTTTATTTCTTTAAAAAACACAACTATAAATCAAAATTAATTGTTTTCTTTTTTAAATATTATAATATAAGTTTATTGTTGAATAGTATATTATGTATTATAAATTATGTGCAGGAGCTAAAATGACCCGTAAGATATTGAGGAGGTCTCCATTGTTAGAAATAAATAATAAATAAAATAAATACAAGCTGGAGTTATAATTATTTATGTTTGGCTTAAAAAGGTTTGAGAGGATGGCATGAAGCTCTGTATGTAGGTCTTGTATATATAAATTTTTATTTCCTTGATCAGAGAGGGAATGATGTCAATGATTTTTCTTTTTAATGAATTTTAATATATATATATATTTATTTTTCAATGATATTTACAACTTTATTAAAGAGATACAATTATTAAAATTGAACATACGGATACAATGACGTGAAAATACTTGTTGAGAAACTACTCAATGGTAGTACTCTAATAATATGTCTACATTAGGAGATCGCGGGGCCATGTGCTTTTCAGACGCCACGGAGGTTTATCAGGAATTGAAGAGGAAGCAAGGTTAGAAACGAGAGGGTTGGGATGATTCTGAAGTTTATTATAGAAGGATAGGTATCTGGATTGGGCCAGATCTGAAACATACGAAACATTAAGGTCGTTATGGATGGTTTTATTTGTAACAAAGTAGGGAGAACTGAGGATTAATTTTAATATAATTCGTTTAAATACAGATTAATCACTTTAAAATTTCGAATGCATTTTCTCTAAAGAAAAAAAAATATATCTGTGAAGTGACCCATAAATAATACAACTTTGTTTCATTGGTGTTAAAGTCGGACTGTGTTTGAGTTTGGACCAAAAAATATATTTACAATAACTTAATAAAAATTAATTATGGTATATAATAACCATCAAAAAGTCTTTAGAATAAAATATATTTCTAATTATCTCGCAGTATTGTCCAGTAATGTTCTCCAATTTGATTTTTCTATAGCCAAAGAAATTCCAACCTGTATTTTTACGATTAAGAAATATTTTTGTGCACCTTAAGGTTCGATCATGGGACACGGTAACTAACTAATCGGGATCCGTTCTTAACTCCAGTTTATCAGTCTTGTCTGAGGTTCAAAAGAAAAAAAAAAACTAATTTAGCAAGGACATTTATAAATGCAGCTATTTGAAACATGCCGTAGAAGAAGCGAGACCCTCAGAACTGACGGCAATCCAGCTAAAAGCCGACGTCATCACGACAATAGGAGGCCACAATTCAAGCATCCATTTCCCTAGCAGGTCCTCAGCCTCCAAAGAATGGTAAACAATGGCCGACATCAAAAGAACACTTGAAGAAGTCAAGGTCCCTTATCATTCTGTTGCAGCGCCTCTATAAAATGATTGTGCACTCTCCTGATTGGCCGGGTTATGATGCAAGCTGGTGAAAAATTATCTTGGATTTATAAGCCTGCTTACTTTTAACTTTAATAAATTCTTTCATAGAGTCAAAATGAATAAAACATAGGTGAAGAACAGCTCCAATGAAGCAGACCATTTATAATTTTACATTTTTTTATAATTTTCTATATAAAGTATTAGTTTGTTTAAAATCACATTTACAAACTACTACCTACATTGAAATAATTTGTTATGGAAATTAAAACATAAATTTTAATTTGAAATTAGCAGAAAAAACATCTTCTCCCTCTAATTTCCCATTCCGAGACTCAACTGCAATAAAATGTTTAAGTTTATTTTAATCACTTAAAATCAAGTAAATCTAACTCGAATGTTCTCTATAATATTTCGAACGATCTTGTATGTTCGCAGACGTAAAAGAAAATCTTAATATCTACCAAGGTATTTAAGCAAATGAACAAGTAATTTCAAATGGATAGCGGATTTTTCCATAGTGTTTTTTTTTTTATTACTTTTTTTTACTTTCGTAACATTACGTTTTTAATTTTTCAAGTATTCACAATTTTTATACATCACATATGATTAATATTATTTTTGATAAAGACTTTCACATGCTAACGGTTCATGACCATATACTAACACACTACAAAAGATTTCACGAAACTTACTGACATATCAAAATACCCATATATATAACTAAAAATAACAGGCTAAAGAAGCATAAAAGAAGCTGGATGAGGGATCCCCTCGCTTAAAAGTTATACTAAAATCAAGGATGGAAGGGATGCCGCTGGATCTCACGCTGATCATTAAATATGACTAGTTGGCCCGTGTGAAAAATTCGCAGACAATTTTGTGTAGTGAAGAAACATCAACACTTTACTCCTTCCGTCAATACGAATTGTTTAAATTATACATATTTCTAATAGATTTTTACGATTTTTGTTTTCGTTTTGTAGGTAATTTAGTAATCTTTCTAATTACCATGGGTACAATCAAGAAAAAAATGCACACTTTTTGAGTTATTCGCAAATAAAGTTTATTTTCCTTCATAACTTTTCCCAAAGAAATTTGGGGAGGATATGACTATTTTCCGCATGTGAAGGAGAAGAATATCTCCAAAATGAGTGGTCAATCATTGGATTTTATGAAGAATTGACGAAGTTTAGAAATAATATATAGGATAGATTATAACCTTGGATATTTAAAAAAATTATTTTTATATTTACATTTGAGCTCAAATTATTTCAGAACTACCAAATTAGAGATATTTTATACAATAATTAGTAATTATTATGTGCTAAATAGTTCAAAACATCCACGCGATCCCACTGAATTATTTGAGCTATTGCACTTACAAATCGATCTTTGACTCAAAAAAATAGGTTTGTTATAATGTGGTCTACATACCTTAAAGCAGTAGACATAAATTACAATCTTTTTATTTTGCCGTATATGGGTAAAAACATATTTTTGAATTCGTATAATAAATACATTTTAAAGGTATTATATGAAAATTATTTAATTTAAAAAAATGAGACATTTAATACATATTATTGATAAAGAAGACAATTTTTTTTTTTTAGTGTATTTTTATAATAAGAAATAAAGAAGCAGAAGAAAATGTATTTACAGAAAATATATTTTCTTTCATGAGAGAGGACAAAAAATAACTTCCTTTACTAGATTTATCGCAGACATGTATTACTTGATAAATTGTGATGGATGGAAAGTAAACCGTCTCGAGGAACCTAGCAACAACCAACTTGGAAAATAAACGACCCGTGCAGATTATTATGATTGGACTTATATTTCACATTGAACTTCTATTTTCGTATTTCTTTCCTCGATACAAATAACTTGAAAAATTCTAGTTATCGCTGAATGCTCGTTATTTTATTTTTATTTTTTTAGCGTATAGAATTGACCTGGAGTTTTATATGTAAGTAGAAGTGGTTCTTTTTTTCTTCTTTCCAAGTTTATTAACCATGTCAGAGGTACTTCCGTTTTTGAATATCAAAGATTCTATTTATAAATGATATAAATCGAAGTTTTTATAAAATATATATTTCTTAAATTTAGCAGATTTTGACATTCTTTCGTTAATTTTTCTTTCCTTACTTTTTTCGGATAGCAATATTTTTTTTTTATAATTAATAATTTAATCAGACTAGTAATGCTATTATGAATTAAAATGTCTCTATAATTTAACTCCTTCAAATCCATTACACTATTATTGTATTGTGTATTTTATTTTAGTTTCTAGTTTTGACCTCCCTCTTTCCGTATCAGACATAGTTCGATATATTTGACTCCTTTTAGACATGGAACACTAACATGGAATTCTCATACCAGCATTAAAACACAAGAACATAACCGATGATTCGGACAGTTATATAGACAACATAATAGAAAATATTATCTCTCAATTGGAAACAAATTATTAATATACAAGACCATATTAAACCCCATTAGGACCTACGACTTGAACTATGAGTGACAGCTAAATTTTCGAACATAAAGCGCATTCAGTACTTCCAATCTGAAGTCCTTGGTACAACAGTCAATGCTCCTCATTGTGTTAAAAATAAAACTTTACATCATGATCGTAACATCCCTTATGTTCTTGACGTTATTCCATCCAGATTCTCAAATTATCATTAGAACCTAATCCATCATCTTAATCCAACGGCATAATCTTTATCCAGCTCCAGTCATCCCTATAACCCTCCTCAAAGTTTGAAAAGGCAGTGGTTTCAAGATCTTTTGTAATAATGCCATTGGAGTTCTGGCATAGGCCAGCTTCTTCACTCAAGTCAAGAGTGTCTGTGGCTTTAGTGCCCTCTCTCAGTCTCAACTCCCATCCCGGTGACGCGACTAAGATAAAAGCGTAGGGATCTCTTAGAGTCTTGTCTTGTCCTCTACACGTGAGAGAAATGGTCGGATTCAAAGCTCCCTCAATCACCTGAATTTCTTTTCTTTTGTTATTGTTATTGCATATATGGTATGAATGAGTCTCACATAGCTCTAATATATAACAACTTTAAGTGAGGTAATATGTATTATTAAATTTTAAAAAATATATTTTAATAAATAAAAAAAAATTTCTGACTTTTTTTCATTCATT